ATTACGGTCCTTAATTAATTGACGAGCACTATAGGTGTGTTTATTGAGCTCCTTCAACAACATGGCGAACTGATTGGAGCGAGGTCGTTTATTTTGTTTTACTTTGGAAGTAATCCAAGTATCTACATAAGGATACATGCCGAAAGCGGGTCGAATGTAGACATACTTTGACTTCCACTTGGTAACATTCGACGAAAGATCGTCAAGAAAAGTGACGCCAGCGCAACGACCCAAACAATGGGCGCCCTTGACGAGTCTGTATCCATAGCAATAAAAGAAAAACTCGGGCGAAAAGAAATGAAGTATTATTCGGGAGACGATTATAAAAGCTATCATGATGCGAATGACATTAGGAGAAAATTGGTTTATTGGTACATTATACATGTTGCTAATCAGCAAGAGCTCGTCTTGGATAGAAAAGCAAAGGCCGAACACGATTTGGTCAATGAAAAAGGTATGACAACTAGGAGGAGGATGAGCGAAGTCGTTGTCAAGACCAGGGGCAACGAACTCTCAATCAGAGGGCAGCCCACTAAATTGCTTAAAGACCTCGTCCTCTGCTGCAGAGGCATAATAAAAAGGATTAAGAATTGCTAACCTAGCCAAAGGACAAGCTAAAGATACAACACTTCAAGAATCGACGAGAGGAGTAATCATGGGTACAAGAACAGGACTTGTTCTATATATAGGAATATCTAAGAACCTAAGAGGTATACATCGAGGAATGAGATCACGACGAGGAGAACCTCTTCGAGAGGGGATCTGCGAGTCGTCAACCAAGCCACCCGACAGAAGTGCTTGGTCATATTCATTCCAGTCGACACTGGAAGCAGAGGCACGGGAAGAGGAATAGTCGGGAGATACGGTAGCCATCTTAAAGCCAACCACTTGAACTGAGTCGGACGACTGAGGGCCTTCGTCGATTATACGGTCAAGCGTTTCGGGGGATCAGAGTTGGAAGCTAAAAAGAAAGAAAAAAAAGAGAGAGTTGGAATCAGTAAATCATGAACCAACACGCTAGACATAACGAACAAAGTCGACTCGTTAAAACCTTCAGGGAATAACTCGAAAAAATGAGCCTAACTCGGAGAAGAATAACCATTACGGGATAGTTGAAAGACGCGAATAAGTCAAGACGACTCGACTTCTCTCAAAAGGGAGGGAAGTAACGAGTCATGATATCCAATCGACTCGACCGGAATAAGTCAATAAGTCGACATGAGCCGACTCGAGAGGGGAACTAAAATTAGCCACATATATCGAATCAGTACCAAAACACGTTAATAGCGTGAGGTTCGAATGATAAAGATCTAACGCCAAAATCCATGGAAAAAGTTTAAAAGAACATGAAGAACACACAGGAACTTCAAATCCGAAAAACCCAGAAAAATCGAAAAAGGAAAAACCGACAGGAAGTTGAGAAATAAGAGAAAGTGGTGAACTTACACATGGTGGATTGATTAGTTGAACTCGGAAAAGCTTGAATTCATCGGAAAAGGGAAACGCCGGTGAAGCCGAAGATCGCTGCAGTTGCCGGAGAACTTGAGAAGGATTGAGAAAGTTTGAGGGTTTGAGAGCGTGAAAAGTGAGGTATTTCGCAGAGGAGAATTATTTATACACTGAATCAATGAAATACCAACCGTCAGATCAAAGTAAGATCCAACGGTCATGATGGAGTGTGGAATTCGAAGAGGCAGAAATTGAAATCACACGCGCCGCTTCGAAATTTGAAATTCAAAAAGAATGTCAGAATGTCAGATTTATCTAAAAAAGTAATCATATGGGATTGAGAGGTATCCCAGCCAAATGACGAGACGAGTGATCGACGCGACGAGTAAAAGTGGATATTGGGATTTAAATCAAATAGATGCGACACTCAACCAACAAATTTACTCTTAAGCATTCGACTGCTTAGAGTAATTTTTTTTTGGGGGGGACTAGATGATATAGCCATGTAATGATATATCGGCCCAAAAACCCTTCACTGGACTGGATAATTACTCAGACCGTCCACACGTCGACGTACTCCTGTCGACATACTTAAATCGACTTCCGCAAAAGTCGATTCTTCACAGAACGACCGCGAGAGAAGGCGGAATCCATGCAAGACGACTCCCAGAAGTTGACCTCACACAGTCGACTCCCAATAGTTGACTTCTACTTAAGAAGAACAACAGTAGCGTAGCCTCCGAATATTCAGATAATCCTAAGTCGACCTCTCAGTACTCGAGGTCGACTTCTCGCACCTCGAGGCACGAGACGCACTGACAATTCAATACACATGATATGTCTTGAAGCCTCTTATTCTCTAAGTGGATAAGGAGGAATCTTGCAACAAGGGGAGACGAATCGATCAGGGCAGTTTAGACCTTTCAGGTAAACTGATCGGGGCATTTTGGGTACCTCAAGTAAGTGTTTTTTTCTATATAAAGGAGGTGAGGTAACCCTAAACCCTAACTTCCATTCATTCCACACTCTCCTCTATAGTTGTTGTTGCTCTCTCATAGCAGCTCTTCTTCTTCTTCATCTCTTTCACATACTGACTTGAGCGTCGGAGGCTCTATGCCGGAAACACTTCTGGCGTTGAGTTCTTGCAGGTGTTGTTGCGGTCTAGCAACGGTTCGAAAGCGATTCAGGCATATCTGAACTCATTACCTCCGGTTCACTCTAGATCTGGAAATAGACCCATCAGACTCCCACTTACATTATCTTCCTCACAAAAAAATATTCAAGTAGCATTATGAGTAAAGCATCACCATAAAACTAGAATTCAACAAGCACGCAGTACAAGTAAAAGGTTGATGTTCATTAATTCGAATGTCAAATAATTCTCAGGAAATTGTTACGCCCTGAAAAAAGCACAAAACATTGAAATATGTAACCATAAGCTTCCAAAATCAAAATTTGCCATGATCAGATGCTTTTAATAAAACATACACGAGACAGATCAAAACATGAAACATAATTCGTATTTTCTTTACATGCATTATTGCACCTAATCTACACATATTTGCTTTGATATTATTATAATCAACCAAAGCATCACCACTTGTATTAATATGTATTTGCTTTGATATTATTATAATCAACCAAACATCACCAATTGATGTTATTAATATGCAAAGTAGATCGTAGAACATAAATTCATAGGTAATTAATTCATAAATATTACCAACATAACAAATCAAAACCATAACTGCACAAATTTATAGGCTGATT